ATGCAAACATACTATTAGTTATAATCTATAATCAAATGAAAATCCCCCCAAAACCATCACATCTCTACAAACAGGTTTTTAACATTTTTTTCTTAAACAAGTGTCTTTACTAGCTAAGAGAAGTTGACAGATCCCTTGCCTTTCTATTGATATAAATTTTCCCTCTTTGTCAGGTCTAATTTGCTAGCACAGAATTAAGTCATTTAACACAAATAGAAGCTTTTCTTATCCCATATAAAGGTGACAAAGTATCCATCCATTGTCAAGTATCCCTCAAGCAAAAGCATGAAGTGAACATCTTCAAACACGATCAAGAAATGCGTATATTAAACATCATAAAGTCAACTATGTTTTTAATTACCCAAGCACACTGCATAACTGAAAAATGGTATCATAAAGTACCTTCCGAAGAGGAACAAGGCTAAAAAGTCCAAGAAAACTGACAACAAATATGAACCCCATCATCCATAACAACCCCGGATTCTTAACATCCTCTGCCCGATTACCCGGATAATCCTCCCCAATCAACTTATACGTTTTCTCGTCCATCGAAAGCAAGTAAGACCCAAATCCCCCTGACAACAATAACAAACAAGTAATTCTCAACCCATTAGCTAAAACAGGAAAGCAAGTACACTTCTATGTATGCTTAATTACCACTAAAGGCGAGGCCATAACAAGCAACAACACACGTCTGGATAACGGTATTTTCTTGCCGAGTAAATGGTTTAACATGAAACCCAAATTTCGACAGAAACCCGGTCCAAGACTTGACAAAGAAAAATCCGAGCAGACCGGCGGCGACATTGAGAGAAGGAATGATTCCGACTGTGAGATTGAGCTTGTGTGTAATAATACAGAAAAGAGCGCCTAATAAAGCGCTCACCACAAGCCCTCGAATCGTGATCTGCTCCTTCCATTCGGGGATTATTTCCTCCTCGTGATCATCGGCATCGACGACCCTGATTTTGCGTTCTGCCTCTGAATCGAGAAGTAAATGCTCAGATATCTCCACCCCTGCCTCCTGTGCAGTCCCCATGGAGATGAAAGACCCGAATTTGTTTATTGGATAGAGGACCACCCGAGATCGGAATTGGGAAGTGATGATATAGGATTAAGGATTCTATGATTCCTCTCTTGTCCTGTTACTTCGATGAAAATATGTTGTCTTTCTTTTGTTTTGGGTAAATCTCTTCAAGGATCCCAAACTAAGTGTCAGTCATGTCCCAAATCTTTCTTTTTGTAGCATTCATATCCCAACCTTTTAACAATGTATGAGTCATATCCTCCTCGCGCTTTCAATGAGAGGTAAAATTGTTCGAAAAGGGGTTTTTTAAAGGATTGTGCTACATGTACACTCCATGATTTACACAATCTTTTACACCCCTCTCACATGGAGGGAGACCCATGAATATTTTATTGTGTGTGGCCACCCCTCCATGTGAGGAGGGTGTGAAGGATTGTGTAAAGGATTATGTACATTTAGCATAATTTTTTTTTAACTTATCGTAAATCGATCAGTCATCACGTGTGAAAATGAAATGAATGGGACATGGATACTATGTCTATATGTACAATGTGAAAAAGTTAAGGGCATAATTATGATACTTATGAGGTGTTGGAGACCTTTACAGGAATTTGGTTGGTGGATGGTTTGTGCGAGAATCAAAAGGATGATGTGTTAGGTGAATATATGATCCATTTTATATAAAATTTCGATTTTAATTTAAGTTAAAGTTAATTAATTAATTTTAATTATATATTTTATGAAATTAATAATTTTTTAATTACACATTTCATTAATTTTTATTAAAATTTACTAAAAATATGAGAGGGTATAATGTAGCCAAGATTGCCGTTAAGTTCATCTCCATGTGAAGTTAATTTTTTTATTAGTTATTTTGAGATTTTTTTTGGCACGGGCATTGTGTTGGAAATGGAGAAAACTTTTGCGTAATTGACATTTATGGTGTGTTTGATGGATATTGTTGAGAAAATAATGTATTTTAAATCATATGTGATTAAAAAGTGAGAAAAAGTTATTGATTTGATGGAAAATATTATTTTATTGAAAATTGTATAGTTGAAAATGAATTTTAAAAGATTGTGTGTGAACGGGGGCTTATGATTTTTCAGCAATCATCACTGTACTAAGAAAAAGAATCGATGATGGATGGAGATAAGAGTACCATGCAGTGGATTCTCTAAGGATGAACCAATTTAGATTTTTCGTTATTTTCCCTTTTTTTCTAGTCTTTCGGTCATTTTGTTATTTTTATTTTTCATACTTTTTTTTTATGAAAGAAAATTTGTTAAGACAAGATTATGAGTGAACACGATCTAATTTTGTACGATTCTGAGGAGTACCAAATTGAGTATTAATAAAAATTTTAGAAATTGAACCATTGATTCCATATCCAACTATATAACCAAATCAGAATCGAACCAACCGATTCTGATTCAATACAATCTAGTTCTTTATATTAAAAAGATTTTAAAAATAAAGTATAAAATTACTTGTCAAAATGAAAACAGCCAAATATAGAGTATGAAACCATGCATCATTCTTGTAAATCTAACAATGCAAAAAAACATATTAAACAAAGAAACAAACAAAAATCCACTCAAAACCTCAAAGATCAACTTATAAAGGCGAAAAAATAATAAACTATGAAATATAGTATAAATGGTAAAATCTCGATTGAAAATTAATTCTTAAAAAAATTCATATAACAATAGCCAAATTATTTTTAGTAATTCTTAAAGATCGTGGTTCTTGATGGTCCACGACTTTGAAAATAATGATAAATTGAATTCTTATAAAATATTGAATTAAAAATATATTCTTCTTATTGTGTTCCATTAAAACTATGAATTTTTAAAATATTTTTAAAATTATTTAGACTTGAATTTCGATTACAAATTAAAGGAGAGAAGAAGAAGTGTATGAAAAATAAAATTTTAACATGAGATAATTTTGGAGTTAGTGTTTAAAAATCTAGTGCATCTTGATGCAAGTAAAAAGAAAAAATTGAGAAAATCGAATTCACTGTTGATTCTCATGGCAATGCTGAGAATCAGACCGAAACCATTCGACTCTTAACGTATGGTCCCAAAATCGACCCATTCATTTGAGAACCAGAGCCGAATCGGTCAGTTCCATTTGGTTACAATCCTATTCAACCGGTTCTAAAAGAAAACTTCCACTCCTAGACAAGATGACAACTTTTAAGAAAAAACGGAAATTAAACATGCAATTTGCCAATATAATGTTGCTAAGATTTGTGGCAATTATATTCATTTAACTTGTTACGTTAATGTTGATAGAACCATGCTACACATACAAAATATTTTACAAGAATTTTTTTCATAGATAACACATGATAGAATTTCGTTGGTTTTCGTTAAAACAAACAAAAAATTTGTACCATACATGTATTGCGATGATAGTACCTGCGAATAATTCCCGGTACTCATGGAATCATTCATGCTGATAAGATTTGTGGTTATGTTCATTTAACTTGGACGTGTTCATTTAAGTTGAAATGAGGTTAATTTTGCCTTCTTTTAATTATTAATTTGAGACATTTTCGACAAGAGTAGTTATATTCAGTTATTCAAACCACATTTCTTTCATAAATACAACACTTTTAATTACATTGATCATTAATATTTATTCATTATCTCACTTATATCCTTAAATTTTTCTTCGTCATATTTTATTTTTAACATTTCATTTTTAGAAAATTTTGTTCTTAACAATGGTTTTCGTCTAAAAATATTTGTCAATGTGCTTTAATATGATGGTCAAATATTTAGTCGCATTTTTACATTATTATTTGCTTTGCTTGTTTAAAAATACATTGGATAAATTAATCTTTTTTCTCTATCTTAAAGAAAATTTAGGAGATAAATCATAATTCAAAACAATCAATGTTAACTTGAGAATAAGAATGTGATGAAAGAAGTTTGAGATATATAAATGTAATAATGTGTTGACTTTTCATGTGATTAAAATGTAATTTAGTTATTAAAACTGAATATATATTTAGCCCTTGTTTGGTACATATTAAAATTTTCATTCTCATTCTTCTATTCATTTTCAACTACATATTTTTCAATAAAATAATATTTTCTATCACATCAATAACTTTTACTTCTTTTTCAACCACAAATTCTCCATCAATTTACTATTCCAGAATACATTTTTCCAAAATAATGTGNTTCAATAACATAATATTTTCTATCACATCAATAACTTTTACTTCTTTTTCAACCACAAATTCTCCATCAATTTACTATGCCAGAATATATTTTTCCAAAATAATGTGGCTCTGTGCATTTGAGCCACATTAGTTTGGAAGAATATATTTTGGAAAAGTAGATTGATGGAGAATGTATGGTTGAAAAAGAAGGAAAAGTTATTGATGTGATGGAAAATATTATTTTATTAAAAAATATGTGATTAAAAATTAATAAAAGAATAAGAATGAAGATTTTAACGTGATTCAAACATAGACATAGCATTTCAAGAAATAGTTATGGGCGACCTTGGAAATGGAGAAAGCTTTTGTCTTGTTGCTATTTTCCGAACTATTCTTTGTTTTCCATTTGGAGAAATTACGTCCACTACTTCAAAATTTAAAAAATAGTGTGCTCATCCATTCTATTATTAGTAAAAAATAGTACACTACACGCAAATCGATGGGGGCATCCTAACCCAATCCCATACACTATTGCATCAACCCCAGTTGCCGTGAACCACCACCCAAACACGATACACCATTGTCGCCAAACATTTCATCAAGTACCAGCAACCTCCCACCTTCTCATACCACCATCCACCAACACCATCATTTACTAGGAAGATTGATGCTCGAGATTAGGAAAATCGATGCTTCGGAGGTGTATGGAATTCAATTCGTCAACGCGGTGTGACCGTAGTGCATGTTGTACCATATTTTAATTGTGAAAAGGTCTCCTACGTTTTCTCACAACCACACTTGCGTCTTAAATCCTATGAAGAATTTAATAAAAGTTAAATTAATCTCAAACAAATTCATGTAGGAAAAGTCTAAATCCTAGAATTATTCAACAAGTAAATATCAAATTAAATAAATAGAGGGTGTGAAATCTCCAAATCCAATGAGTTACTTCCTAACTTCGACAAGAATTTTAGTTCTCCATGGAAAGCTTGAGAAAAAATCAGAGAAAAATATGCATGTAGGCGTCCTCCTTTGTTCTGGTACGTTGTAGGGTTGAAATATCGTGAAAAAGTTGATTTCCATAAGAATTTGACGTAATTTAGGAAATTGAGATTTACTACTACGCGATCGCATAGTGATAGGTGCTATGGTTGCATAGAAGTCTTGAACTAGGTGCTGAATTTGTCTGAAAGGGGCACATGCGACCGCATGGGGGATTAGGCTATGCGACTGCATAGCTTTTCCCACTTTCACAATTGTTGCGTTTTGGTTCTCGAACTCTGTTCCTCGTTTTGTGACTTCTTTCTCCACTTCTTTTTCTCATGCTTTATTCCTTAGTCCAATTTGACCTCGTCATATTCATATCTTTGTTTTGCCTTTTGAATCATCTTTTGGATATTTTCACTTTGGTCCCCGAACTTTTATTTTCTTCAATTTGGTCCTTTTTCCACTTGTTCTCCTTATTTTCGCTACATTCATCACGTTGTCCTGCAAAACGTAAATTACATAAAATTAATCTGTATTTCAACATATAAATCAATAATTTTTCATGTTTTGACAGTAAAATAAATGCGTAAAAATGCACTTATCACTATTTATGAAAGTTTTTATAAAATTATGTAAGAAGATTACTAAAACTTCGAATCCCTCTTGTTAATCTATTTTAATGCAAATCAATATCATGATAATATGTTCACAATTTTGTTGATCAATGTTTCTAAGTTAATTAAAAGCATATCTCGATATAAATTAAATATAGTATCTCTTGTGACCTTTTTATATTTCTATGAAAGACGTGAACATAAAAGCATTCATTAAAAACTAGAATATATAT